ATGACACTGCTGGTCCTGCTCACACTGCCCTACCCTATGCTTTGACTTATTTCTCCCCTCTCTCTCCAGATAAAATCTTGCGACTTGTGACGGCAGGCCGCCCAACAACCTGCCCGCTTGACCATATCCCCTCCTCTCTTCTCCAGACCATCTCCGGTGACCTTCTCCCTTACCTCACCTCGCTGATCAACTCATCCTTGACCGCTGGCTATGTCCCTTCCGTCTTCAAGAGAGCGAGAGTTGCACCCCTTCTCAAAAAACCAACACTCGATCCCTCTGATGTCAACAACTACAGACCAGTATCCCTTCTTTCTTTTCTCTCCAAAACTATTGAGCGTGCCGTCTTTAGACAACTCTCTTGCTATCTCTCTCAGAATGATCTTCTTGATCCAAACCAGTCAGGTTTCAAGACTGGTCATTCAACTGAGACTGCTCTTCTCTGTGTCACGGAGGCTCTCCGCACTGCTAAAGCTAACTCTCTCTCCTCTGCTCTTGTCCTTCTAGACCTGTCTGCTGCCTTTGATACTGTGAACCATCAGATCCTCCTCTCCACCCTCTCCGAGCTGGGCATCTCCGGCGCGGCTCACTCTTGGATTGCGTCCTACCTGACCGGTCGCTCCTACCAAGTGGCGTGGCGAGAAGCTGTCTCCGCACCACGTGCTCTCACCACTGGTGTCCCCCAGGGCTCAGTTCTAGGCCCTCTCCTATTCTCTCTGTACACCAAGTCACTTGGCTCTGTCATATCCTCACATGGCCTCTCCTATCATTGCTACGCTGACGACACACAACTAATCTTCTCCTTTCCCCCTTCTGATAACCAGGTGGCGATTCGCATCTCTGCATGTCTGGCAGACATATCAGTATGGATGACGGATCACCACCTCAAGCTGAACCTTGGCAAGACGGAGCTGCTCTTCCTCCCAGGGAAGGACTGCCTGTTCCATGATCTCGCCATCACGGTTGACAACTCCGTTGTGTCCTCCTCCCAGAGTGCGAAGAGCCTTGGCGTGACCCTGGACAACACCCTGTCGTTCTCCGCTAACATCAAGGCGGTGACCCGATCCTGTAGGTTCATGCTCTACAACATTCGGAGAGTACGACCCTGCCTTACACAGGAAGCGGCACAGGTCCTAATCCAGGCACTTGTCATCTCCCGTCTGGATTACTGCAACTCGCTGTTGGCTGGGCTCCCTGCCTGTGCCATTAAACCCCTACAACTCATCCAGAATGCCGCAGCCCGTCTGGTGTTCAACCTTCCCAAGTTCTCTCACGTCACCCCGCTCCTCCGCACACTCCACTGGCTTCCAGTTGAAGCTCGCATCTGCTACAAGACCATGGTGCTTGCCTACGGAGCTGTGAGGGGAACGGCACCTCCGTACCTTCAGGCTCTGATCAGTCCCTACACCCAAACGAGGGCATTGCGTTCATCCACCTCTGGTCTGCTGGCTCCCCTACGTCTGCGGAAGCATAGTTCCCGCTCAGCCCAGTCAAAACTGTTCGCTGCTCTGGCACCCCAATGGTGGAACATGCTCCCTCACGACGCCAGGACAGCGGAGTCACTCACCACCTTCCGGAGACATTTGAAACCCCACCTCTTTAAGGAATACCTGGGATAGGATAAAGTAATCCTTCTACCCCCCCTTACCCCAACCCACGCCCCCCCCCCCCAAAAAATAATAATAAATAAAAATAAAAATAAACGTTGTAAAGTGGTTATCCCACTGGCTATAAGGTGAATGCACAAATTTGTAAACGTAAAGTAGGAGTAAACCAAGCTGATTGGGTGAACCAAGCTGACACCTAACAGGTAGGAGTGAACCAAGCTGACACCCAACAAGTAGGAGTGAAACAAGCTGACACCCAACAGGTAGGAGTGAACCAAGCTGACACCCAACAGGTAGGAGTGAACCAAACTGACACCCAACAGGTAGGAGTGAACCAAGCTGACACCCAACAAGTAGGAGTGAACCAAGCTGATTGGGTGAACCAAGCTGACACCCACCAGGTAGGAGTGAACCAAGCTGACACCCAACAAGTAGGAGTGAACCAAGCTGACACCCAACAGGTAGGAGTGAACCAAGCTGACACCCAACAAGTAGGAGTGAACCAAGCTGACACCCAACAGGTAGGAGTGAACCAAGCTGACACCCAACAAGTAGGAGTGAACCAAGCTGACACCCAACAGGTAGGAGTGAGTGTGTTACCCATTTGTGCTACTGTTTTATGCACAATTTGTGTGTGTGTGTGTGTGTGTGTGTGTGTGTGTGTGTGTGTGTGTGTGTGTGTGTCCAGCTCTTTACTGTCCCAGCGTTGCACTTCCAACATAATGGTTGAAGAGAGAAAAAAGGACTGAGAAACGTAGTTCTGTCTTGATTGAAACCGTTGAAATCAATTGTTTGTCTGCAAATATTTTCCCTTCTTCTTACATTCTCACAGAGGTCAACTTAACTTCACATTCACTTCCTCCTTACAACTTAACCTTTCAGTAAAGGGAAGTATTTTACAATTGTCATGGGCTGATGTGGATGCGGTTTTGGAGTCAGGCGCAGGACACAGAAGCTTAGTCGAACCGACTTTAATTGTCACAAAGACAAATACAAAATAACGGGCCTCAAAACACAGGAGGCGAGCGATTACGCAAACGGTGCGTAAAACACTAAACACTAGAAAACAATAAACATACACCAACGGACAGGCGTTCAACAACACACAACTGCAAACAAAACCAAAGGAAACGTATAGGTGACCTAATCAATACATAATACGAAACAGGTGCACCAACAAGACAAAACCAAACAAACATAGAGAACATCAAGCGGTAGCAGCTAGTACTCCGAGGACGACGAACGCCGAAGCCTGCCCGAACAAGGAGGAGGAGCAGTCTCGGCGGAATTCGTGACAACAATATCCTGCTGTATCCTACAGTAATGGTTCACACATAGGCCTCTTTGGAGTCTAGTCACATGCAGTAGCGGTGCATCGGTAAAATCACTGGGGAAGTGTTGTGATAATTGCATAGTTTGCTCTATAACCTGTTAATTCATATGCCTTGCGACCATGATATATAGGCCTAAAGGCCGAGACAATAAGAAGAAAGTGGCAGAATGAATTCAACCACACCTTTATTTAATTACAAAACTGGATAGCAACCTCCGTCAGGTGAAGTCCACAACACATATTGCATGTAACAGACAGTTACATGACCTACAGCATGGTCAAGCAAGTTAATGTTTCCGACATTTTCAGACCACCAAACAGCTATTGATTTAGAACCACAGGGAGTTACTGCAAGTCGCAAAGAAAACAGGAGCTGCCTCCTCTATTACAGCACCATTTCAACTTCAACATTATCAAATCACCTCTGCTTAGTCTAATACAGTGACATCTAAAAGATACCAAAAACAATTTAGTCCAATCAACATAAGCTAAATATGATGTGGCTGTCCATGGTTCTGATTTCTGTTTGCCTGTGTGTATGTGTGTGTGTGCGTGCGTGCGCGTTCGTGCAAGTAAAAAAATATTCTGACTCACCCTACTTGTAGAGAAATGCCAATGCCATCCTCCTCTCATGTTGACGAAACGGTCTATTACTCTGTCATACAGTAAACGCTTTTATTTTTTGTTGTCCTAGGCTACCTGGCTAAAACGCTAGCCTAACTTCCATTCATGGGCAACGTTAGCTAGTTAACATTAACATTCTACATCTAGCTACATATTGATCTTCCATCCTCTCAGGCCAGGGGCACAACAATGTATGAATTAATGGTTGGATCAGAATCGCTATTATAGTCATTGGCCAGTACAGAGAATTAAGTAAAACCACAAGTCCAAATCCCTATTTCCATCCATGGCTAATTTAGGAAAGGGCCGATTTTAGCTAGCTGGCTAGCTGGCTAGGTAGCCACCGGAGGACAAAAACACAACGAGATGCAACAATTCAAGTTGTTTCTGTTAATGAAGATTTGATAGGAGGGACGCCAAATCCAAGCTGGCTTCCCTTGACACTTTTTTTCCTCGCCAGGACCATTCACAATTGTGCTCGCTCAGTTTAGCTCAACGCTGATTGGCTAATCTTTTATACTTTTTTTGTCAAGGGAGGCCAAATGCTCGATGGCTTCCCTTGCGTTCAATGCTACGGGCGGCAACAATGTCATACTCGTTTGGACCAGACAGCATCAGATAGATGGCCTACACGTAGAGAGACAGTTTCGCTCGCTCATATGCATTCTCCTATGAGATACAGTCAGCCTCTTGCGAATTAAAGGAAAATTATGAAACACAGAGAGACGAAAGAGAAATTATAAAAAATAGAAAATCTTAGTAAATGTTTTGGGGATGCCTGGCTTCCCTTGGCATCCAGGAATACACATCACTGGTCACATGTAGCCATTCTTTAAAACCAGTCGTTAATTGTCTACCACTGCACGCACACAGAAAGACAGAGACAAACAGACACGCACAGACGCACACACACATACACACACACAAAAGGATCCCCAATAAGCTTCTTAACAAGTCTGTCAAGGTAAGACAGATAAATGCTTTATTTAAAAACACATATGGACCATGCAGATCAAATCAAGGAGAAAGCAATAAAATCAACTAGAAACAAGTGGACCTCTGTTGCTCAGTTGGTAGAGCATGGCGCTTGCAACGCCAGGATAGTGGGTTTGAATCTTGGGATCACCCAAACAATCAATGTATGCATGCAAAACTGTAACTCGCTTTGGATGAAAGTGTCTGCTAAATGGCATATATTTATATATAAGAACATTCAATTGAAATGTGGTTGGCATTTGAATCATGGGTTACACATTTAGTCATTTGGTAGACGCACTTATCCAGAGCATTAATCTTAAGGTAGCTAGGTAAGACAACCACATATCACAGTCATTGTAAGCAAAACCTTTCCTCAATGGAGCAGCTTTCAGCAAAGTCAGGGCTACTAAGAAAAGACAAGTGCACAAGAAAGGCAAGTACATGGTAAGCTGTAAAGAATGTTTTAAGCCTGACATGAATATTCAATGGTTAAGACATTAATAATGGTATAACACATCTATACAGTACATTCAACATACAGTATGTTTACTATAGATTATAGTGGCGTTCTATCTAAGTATGGCCCTCTTTCTTGGACGTCACTTGGACGTCACTATTCGGCCATGATAGGAATTGTGTTATTTTCAAACAATAAATGCAAACAGTACGCCCTATGTTAATTGTCACACAAGACAAGGAACATAAAGTTAAAGCACTTGCTCAGCAGTTCTGATGAAATCGCCCTTCTTGCTTGGTCATCTAGTGACTACCCTCTTTTTGGGATCCTAAGCCACGTGAAGCTGTTGGGTGACCATATTAACCTGCTGGATGCCTGATGTGGTTCGAGTCTTAACCTCACGAGCCATCTGGCACCAGGCACAGGCGTAGCAGCAACACACCAACCCGACGTCCACACAGGTCGAACCCTGAGAGGGGGAAGAGGGAAGGAGAGATGGGTAGAAAATGAAAGCAGAGAACAAGAACATGTCAACAGGACAGAGTTAAAAGGAGGATAAGGACAGAGGTGGAGAGAAGAATAGGGGGTGTAGAAAAGTTCAGGGAAGAAGAAGGAGAGAGAAAAGGTTGTAGTTAATTCCATATTCAGCGTTATATTTAAAGGGGAATCAAGGCACTAACAACACTAAGAACAACAACATTTCCAAGCACACCAATGATATTTCTTAACATCTCAAAAGTCTGATAGTTTCCAACACCATTTCCCCTCAGAAGGTTAAATGAGAGGTGCTGTGGGAACCACCCCCTACCTGCCCCTCCCCCCTCTTCCCACTCCCACCACCCCCTCCCCACCTCCCTCTACCCTCTTTCCCAACCCATCCCACCTACTTTCCCCACCCACCCCATCCCTACCCACTCCCAGGGCTTGTACCTGGATGCCATAGCGTTCTCTCATGGAGGAGCGCATGCAGCAGGAGACAGCCATAAAGGCACATGGGTCCAGCAGGGGCATACAGACACACCAGCCGTAGTGGGAGGCCGTCTGACACTGAAAACAGGGGAAGCACCACGTGGCACAGCAACCTGGGGGGGGACAAATCAAGGTCATCATAGTATTATGATACATAATACTTGATGATTCATATACAGTAGATTACAATGTGATGAAACAACGTTTGTTCAGAGTGAAAATAGAGGTAAAACTATACAAAAATATATGTAAATAAACTCATTTTCAACACATATACTGTATATTGCCTCATCTTAATTCCTTCCCTCGTTTCTCCCACTTCCTCCCACTTAGCCTCTCCCTCTTTCCCTCAGTCCCACCACTAAGTGCTGGGTATGATTGAGACAGAGTGAGTCTGATCTCAACTCTCCCTCTGTTCTTCTCTCTCTCTCTCTCTCCAGAGAGCTCTCAACATCAACAGATCACTCTAACGGAAAACCATCAACCATCAACCAGCCAGTGGTGAAAAAAGTATCAAATTTTCATACTTGAGTAAAGTAAAGATACCTTAATAGTAAATGACTTAAGTAAAAGTGAAAGTCACCCAGTAAAATACTACTTGAGTAAAAGTCTAAAAGTATTTGGTTTTAAATATAAAAGTATATTAAGTAAAATATTAAGTATCAAAAGTAGATGTAATTGCTCAAATATACTTAAGTATCAAAAGTAAAAGAAAAAGTATAAATAATTTCAAATTCCTTATATTAAGCAAACCCGACGGCACCATTTTCTTGTTTTATATTTATTTCCGGATAGCCAGGGGCCCACTCCAACACTCAGACATAATTTACAAACTAACCATGTGTGTTTAGTGAGTCCGCCAGATCAGAGGCAGTAGGGATGACCAGGGATGTTCTCTTGATAAGTGCGTGAATTTGACAATTTTTCTGTCCTGCTAAGCATTCAAAATGTACTTTTGGGTGTCAGGGAACGTCACGTTCGTTGAGTAAAGGATTGGACCAAGGTGCAGCGTGGTATGCGTACATGTTTAATAAATATAATAAACACTTGACAAAATAACACCGCAACTGAACATGACGTTCTAAAGGCTATACATCAAACAAGCCAAACAAACAGAAACAAGATCCCACAACATAGGTAGGCAAAATGGCTGCCTAAGTATGAACCCCAATCAGAGACAACCATCGACAGCTGCCTCTGATTGGGAACCACACCCGGCCAACGTAGATATAGATAACATAGAATTCACACCCTGACCAAACCAACTAGAGAAAAACCGGGCTCTCAAGGTCAGGGCGTGACAGGGAAATTGTATAGAGTAAAAAGTACATCATTTTCTTTAGGAATGTAGTGAAGTAAAAGTAAAGGTTGTCAAAAATATAAATAGTAAAGTACTGATCCCCAAAAAACTACTTAAGTAGTCCTTTAAAGTACTTTACACCACTGTAACCGACTAATGAATATACAATAATGGCAAGGCAGGGATGACATCAAATGATTTCAGTTTTCTCTCCTGTTCATTGTGGATGTTCATCAGGGCTGCCATAGGCAGTACCAAAATATGCTGCCCCCAGCAAAACTAGAATCCTCCCAGTAAGCAAAATGATGTTGAAAAGATATCTAAAATACATATTTTCCAGACATTGAAGTTAGGTTCAATTTAGGTTCTTAATGAAAGATGAAAAGGTATTTTCCGTATTTTTAAGATACATATTTTCCAGGACGTTGAAAATACATATTTTCCGGACATTGAAAAAAACTTTTTTTCCCGACGTTGAAATCAGGATAATTTTTTGGTTCTGAATGAAAGTTGAAAATAAGTAATTCATAGACGTCTATGTTTGGGCCAAATCAAGGCTGGTCCAGACCGGACAAAATCTGAACCAAACATAGATGTCTATGATTGGTTCAGATTTGGTCCAGACTGGACCAAAAACCAATGTCAGTGGATGTGGAAATAAATGCCGGTCCAGAACTGCATCAGAAAAAGATGTCCAAAAGGCATCGGTGTCGGTCTGTTCTTACTGAGGTGTAGCCTACAGTGTTGCCTGAAATATAATTTTATGAATGGCCATCTATGTGGTAAGTCTACCATTTGTAAAACCCCACAAAAGGACATCCAGACAGGAACAAAAAAAGACATCCAAAAGACGTCAGCTCGTACTCACTGGGGTGTAGCCTACCATGTATTTAAGCTCTGAATATCAGCTACCCAACTTTATCAGGAGTTATCGCGAGCCTATTTGAAGCCTATTTGCAATGTATTTACACAGCAGGAAATGCAGAAGTATTTTCTGTTTTGCTATGATCAGCTTGTCAAAAATTGACAGATACATACTTGAAACCACTGTAAGTCGCTCTGGATAAGAGCGTCTGCTAAATGACTAAAATGTAAAATGTAAATGTAATCATGACAATGGGGTGAAACTCCTGGACAACAGTTATGATTGTTCATTCCATATTGTCCATTTTACTTTTACCTGTCCTGTTTTTAGGATATGTTGTTTGTTAACATGACAGCTCATTTTTTATTTAATTGGGCGCCATTTAAGTTAGGCTATTTGATCGGAGAAATCTGCTTGATGTAAAAAGTGTCAGTTTCATTACATTGTCATACATTTTATCTCCAGCCTGTAGACTACAGAAAATGCCTCATAATCTTTCTACCATATCCTATATCTGCTACAGGATTTTTGTTAGATTATTTTTTTGATAGACGGAACATTGGTGGAGCGCTGCAGAGATGCTTCTCTCCAACAGCACCCTGGAGAAGCGCGCTGGGAATGGACAAGCAAAATATGCACCCCCCTATACAAAGTGGGCACTGCTTATCAAAGGGCGGCATCAGCGCTCACCTAAAAAGCCCATATGCCACTGGTTGAGAGAAATTGTCATTGATTTGGGGCAGAATTATGTGAGGTTTTATGTGTTGTTGTTGGATGTGCGTCTTGGTCCGTTTAGCTCAGAAAATGCCGCCTTCGTCAATCTGCCGCTGTATCCCGCATAATGCACCGTGATGTTCATGTAAAACTAATGAAACGAGCTCTATGCTTCCCTGTAACGCTGTACATTCATTATCTGGTGTCTCCGTTTTATTGACATTCCTGGAGCGCAGCCCCGTTGGTCTCCATGGTTCCTGATAACGTCACCCACTTAGCTCTGGCTTTCTGTTTGTAATTCTCCAATCAGGTCCCTCTTTAACCCCACCCCCATCCCCCTTCCAGTAAATGTCAGATTCGCACAGGAAAACACAGCTCAGACCCCTCCCCTGGTAAGCCTATTTCCTGCAGTGTTCTGGGTGGAGGTTGGGGCCGGGGCGTATGGTATCAGTTTAGTGGTTAATTATAGTGGTTAAGAGCGTTGTGCCAGTAACCGAAAGGTCGCTGGTTCTAATCCCCGAGCCGACTAGGTGAAAAATCTGTCGATGTGCCCTTAAGCAAGGCACTTAACCCTAATTGCTCTTGTAAGTCGCTCTAGATAAGACCGTCTGCTCAATGACTAAAATGTCAAGGTCTTTGCATAGTACCAACAATGTTTTTCTCTCTGGAGCATATGAGGTGTAAGGCGCTCAGAACTAGTCTCTAGTTTGATTTAAATTGAACTGTATAATGAATATGTACTCTGACAGAATCGAAAAAAAAAAATAGTAATACAAATATACATTACAAAATAAAAACATTAAAAAAATATATATATAGATTTGGTTCTGGGTTTGGAGATGAGCATATTATGGAATTGACTCCATGTGACTTACAGGTGCCCATGTCAGAGCAGCAGTCAAACAGTCCTGTGCTCCATTCCCCGGAGCTCTGGGTGGTGGTTACAGTGGTGATCTGCTGCTGGACAGGCCAGGGGCTAACACCCCAACACCACAACCCAAGGGAGATTTAGGGAGGTGGAGAGGGATGGGAGGAAAGAAAGAAAGAAAGAAGAAAAAAGAAGAGAAAGAAAAGAAAGAAAGAGAAAGAAAGAAAGAAAGAAAGAAAGAAAGAAGAATGGAACATGAAGGAAGGGAGGGAAGGAGGAAAGGGGGGGAGGAGGGGAGGATTTAGGGATGTAGCTCTAGTATCAGTATTCTGATAGAACTACTATACTCTAGTTATCTAATCATAACATTAGTGGAAGGGAGGAAGAGAAGAGAAGAGCTTACATTTAGTAGGGAGAGAGATGTACTGGGCTGATAAGGGTTTTTTAAATGCAAGGATGTAGTTAGATATTATACATTTGCATGTTAAATGGTTAAATACTTTCTTGAACAATAACAATTTCCCAAAATGTTTTGCTGTTGCTGCAAACTACAGCATGTGCCTGTATCAAATAATGTCGAAAATTAATATTGAATAATACATACATTCATACGAAAAATAAAAACGATTGAAAAACAAAACAAAACGTGCTACTTCATATATATATATAACTTATCTTGTCGAATCTTGAATGTTTTGTAAATAAAATGCAACCAACCAGGAACACTTATTTTCTAAATAACTATTCAAGTTTATATCCATCTCTAATCCAATAGTTCCGGTTTGTTGTGGGAAAAGTATAAACCCACCTCATTCGATTTAAACAAAAAGCCGTTAATAAGTCATGCAAATGAAATAACTTACTCTTTAATAAATTAATATACATTTACAGATACATTGAATTTCTCTTACCTTTCTTATTATTCAACTACAGCCTGAGTAGAGAGAGGGTGGACACTGCTTGCAGCAGAGAGCACAACTGTGTAGCAGCAGGCTTTCCAATGAAATGATGATCACGTCTATAATGTCATTGCGGAAACGCTGTAAAATCGGTTCCTATAATAAAAGTTGGCCTAGGTTACACTTTTGTATCTGCCTAAATCCACCATATTGTAGCAAAAAACCTTTAGGAGTACTTTAAGTTAGTGTGGGTCCAGTGACATATTGGTGGATATGAGGACAATATTGTTTCGATATAATCCGACATAGGGTACTAGGGGGTAACTAGCCCCCTAAGAACAATATTTAATTGCTGACACAAAAAAGCAACGTTTGGAAAAATAATTGGTATGTGAATGAAGGTCATGCTTAGGCAAATAAACTATAAATGGAAATAAATGGCTACAGTTTACACTTTTGTAGTTATTTCATGAAATGTTGTTTTTAGAAAAGGCTGTTTTTTTAAAGTACCAGGGTAAAAAGATTATGGCATAGGGTTTCACACAAGTGTGTTAAAATCCATTTAATCAATTATTATTGACAAATCCTTTAGTAAGTAATATTTAAAAGCTAAATCTAGTTGTCTTATTTTAATGGGGGGGGGGGATTAAAATATGTCACCATTAATATCCGCACTATGAGGAGATGTCCCTCTTTTTAACTCACCTGCACATTAATTTTCTTTGTTCTTTCTTTGTTGTTCCTTTTCCATACAATCCATTATGTACAATTGCACTAAATATGATTTGAATAATGCAAGATTTTGAATCCCATCAGTCTTTAAAATTACATTCAGAAGCAAAAGGTTTTCAATAGTTATTTTTAATTCATACAAAAATTAATTCATTGGAATATAATATTGGAATGGAATATAAATAATAATGTTAAATAACATTGGAATATAACATTTAATAACAATAACTTATCTAATTAACTCAGTGTAACATTGATGTGGCAACTCTCTTACACTCTGCTATTGCACGATTCTAGTTTGTACCTGTAGGTCACAATTATCTCCAGTAAAATTGGAGCAAAACTCCTGAGCCCACGTCCTGCACTGCTCACACCTAATCCAGTCCCTACCTGTGACTGAAAACAGGGGGAGAGATGCCAATTGGAAAGCTCTCTCTTAAAAACATAGATAGCTATCTAGCTATATGACATAAAATGCTGTGTAAAATAGCTAAAATGCTATAACGTTACATTAACCTCTACAGGATCGGTGTCCCGTATACGGGACAGTTGAGCTAAAGTGCGCTAATGTGATTAGCATGACTGTTGTAAGTAACAGCAAATTTTCCAGGACATAGACATGTCTTATATGGGCAGAAAGCTTAACTTCTTGTTAATCTAACTGCACTCTCCAATTTACAGTAGCTATTACAGTGAAAAAATACCATTCTATTGTTTGAGGAGAGTGCACAACAACAAAAAACGTATCATCGCAACTGGTTTGATACATTCATCTCTGAAGGTAAATAATGTACTTACTGTACATTCAGTAATCTTGCTCTGATTTGTCATCTTAAGGGTCCCAGAGATAAAATGTAGCCTAGTTTTGTTTGATAAAATCCATTTTTATATTCAAATGTAGGAATTGGATTCTACAGTTTGGACCCCTGCTGTCTCTGTCTCCACACCCACCCCGCCCAGCCATCTAGATATGTGAAAGTTAGTGTATAAGCTAATGATCCATCATGTATGACATTCCTGGGAGTGTGTAAACTTAAATTTTGTATTACCATACAATGTTTGTATGTTCTCTATAGTTATGTACTTGAAAATGTATCAATTGACCAATTCGGCACATTTGGGCAGACTTCATACAAAATAGTCCAGTATTGCAATGCTTCACTGGATCAATCTGAAACTTTGCACACACACTGCGTCCATCTAGTGGCCAAAATCTAAATTGTGCCTAAACTGCAATATTATATTGTGGCCTTTCTCTTGCATCTGCAATATTATATTGTGGCTTTTCTCTTGCATTTCAAAGATGATGAATTTTTTTTATATTGAAAACGCATGTTTTTTTGTTTGTATTATCTTTTACCAGATGTAATGTGTTATATTCTCCTATATCAATTTCACATTTCCACAATCTTCAAAGTGTTTCCTTTCAAATAGTATCAAGAATATGCATATCCTTGCTTCAGGTCCTGAGCTACAGGCAGTTAGATTTGGGTATGTCATTTTAGGAAAAAATGTATGGTCAGATCCTTAAGAGGTTAACTGTAAAGCTATCAGTCACTAGTGGAAATATTTACAACTGAAATTAAGTTATGTTATCTTTTTTTATGTACTTTACCTTAGACTATCTGGTAGTAAGGTTGCTAGCTAGCACGCCTAGCAGCTTATGGTAACTGGCTAGCTGGCTATCAATTACTACTAGTGAAGTTGCTAGCTAGCAAGTTAGCATAAACTAGCGCTAACTGGGCTAGTCATTGTCTAAATGACAGGTAGAAACACATTCATAACCATAAAGGGGTAACTAGCCCCCAGGGGCCAGTTACCCCCTAGTAGGAGAGGGGGTGAGTTGCCACCAACACACTCATCCAACATATTACTACTTTACTCAAACATTATCTACATTTTTCTCTCTAAACAAGTGGATTATTTATCTTAAGGCTTTCCTACTTGTATATATTGTTTAAAATATATAGATCTAACTTCATTAGAATGTATCTACAACTTTTTCAAAATGTCAATACATTTGATAAATTTACCACAAAATCGTTTTGTTGAAATATCTCAAAAAGTTGTGATGATACAGAGGACATTTTTTGTTCAGCAAGAACAGTGACAGTCAGGGAAAGTGTTGGGGAAATAATTTGGTGACATCTTGTGGTCTTTATGTGAATTACAGGGGGATGGTTACCCCCTACTACCTTACTCATATTATAATTGTTAGGGTCCCCCCTCTTTATAGCTGGGACAAACATATTTTCAGGATTTCACTAATATCATCAAAATAATAATAATAATAATAATAAATTATAGCACGTTTTTGGGCTCATTCAGTAGTTTTTACCTGATAAAGTAGAATCATGTTGAAAAATTATGTTAAAAGTACCATTTATATTCATAAAACATACATTGAAAATGATAGTGTTGCTGTTTCCTGTTTTTTATTTATTTATGGTTGGTTGAGTGTCAAAACACCGGTTTTAGATATCCAAATTCATAATCAATATGTTGAAATAAGTCATGATACTTTGAAGACAAATACATGAAAGTTACTCCCTACATACAGGTCTCACACTTGTGTTCAGATTACTTGTATTTTGCTAAATTAGTACCTTATAAAATACACACACACCAATATTTACCAAGTGGTCACTCAAGACTGGAATTGATTAGCTTGTTCTACTATAATCAATAGTGTGCGCAAATTAATCACTCACAACGAAATTGTATTGAAATCAATGGAACTGGGACCGTTTGCCCTCTTCTAACAGACAAATCTCAATAATATACTACATATATCGGTCGATAGATGACAACCTGTCATAGACATTTATCAACATACAGTGCATTCTGAAAGTATTCAGACCCCTTCACTTTCTCCACATTTTCTTACTTTACAGCAAATTTATATATATAAAAAAAATTAAAAACAGAAATACCTTCTTTACATAAATATTCAGACCCTTTGCTATGAGACTTGAAATTTAGCTCAGGTGCATCCTGTTTCCATTGATCATCCTTGAGATGTTTCTAAAAATTCATTGGAGTCCACTTCGCTCTGGATAAGAGCGTCTGCTAAATGACTAAAATGTACATGTAAATTTGGAAAGGCACACACCAGTCTATATAAGGTCCCACAGTTGACAGTGCATGTCAGAGCAAAAACCAAGACATTTGGTCGAAGGAATTGTCCGGAGAGCTCCGAGACAGGATTGTGTTGAGGCACAGATCTGGGGAAGGGTACCAAAAAATGTCTGCAGCATTGAAGGTCCCCAAGAACACAGTGGCCTCCATTATTTTTAAATGGAAGAAGTTTGGAACCACCAAGACTCTTCCTAGAGCTGGCCTCCCGGCCAAACTAAGTAATCGGGGGAGAAGGGCCTTGGTCAGGGAGGTGACCAAGAACCCAATGGTCACTCTGACAGAGCTCCAGAGTTCCTCTTTGAAGATGGGAGAACCTTCCAGAAGGACAACCATCTCTGCAGCACTCCAGAGCGCTCAGGACCTCAGACTGGGGCGAAGGTTTACCTTCCAACAGGACAACAACCCTAAGCACACAACCAAGACAACGCAGGAGTGGCTTCGGGACAAGTCTCTGAATGTCCTTGAGTGGCCCAGCCAGAGCCCGGACTTGAACTCGATCGAACATCTCTGGAGAGACCTGAAAATAGCTGTGCACCTACACTCTCCATCCAACCTGACAGAGCTTGAGAGGATCTGCAGAGAAGAATGGGAGAAACTCCCCAAATACAGGTGTACCAAGCTAGTAGCCTCATACCCAAGAAGACTCAAGGCTGTAATCACTGCCAATGGTGCTTCAACAAAGTATTGAGTAATGGGTCTGAATACTTATGTAAATGTGGTATTTCAGTTTTAGATTTTTATAAATTAGCAAAAATTTATAAAAAACTGTTTTTGCTTAGTCATTATGGGGTATCAATTTTATATAAGGCTGTTAAGTAACAAAATGTGGAAAAAGTCAAGGGGTCTGAATACTTTTCGAATACACTGTATAATATGTGGTCGTAATTCTGCTAAAACTGCACTAGATGGCCATGTCCCAACTGTTTTAGGATAGTGCTTAAAAGAGCCTTGAACGTCACTTAAGTTCACACATGTTCTTCCCCTGTTAGTCCTAATTCGAATTGAATTTAAAAAGTGATTGTATCGAATTCATTGTATTATAATATTTTTTTGTTTATTGATAGAGTACATTATTTATGTGGTAGCATAAAGGGCCTATACCCCTCAGAGTAAAATACCTATGCTGTATCATAGCAGCACATGTTGATGGAGAAATGTTATTGTTTAGCATGAGTTTTGGTTATTTAGATACCCAAAAGCATATAGTCTCCAGTTGAAGATGGGGAAAGTACTATATTGAAATGTGGGCAATGGGCACTGTGCACACTCGCGCACTTTTGTGGTTGACAGACAGACAGCCAGAGAGAGAGAGAGAGAGAGAGAGAGAGAGAGAGAGAGAGAGAGAGAGAGGAGGAAGAGAGAGAGAGAGAGAGAGAGAGAGAGAGAGAGAGAGAGAGAGAGATAATTCTCACACACAGACGAGA